ATATATGCCTAAGCGATCGTCCAACCATTCAACCGGTGGCTATGATGCACACTGCCCACCAAGGGGAAAACGCTCAACACACGGGCATGGAAACATGGAACAGACTGATGAATCTCAGAGGGAAGTGGGATGGGGAGGACAGGAACATATTAACCAAAGATCTTATATGCATACTAGAGTCCTGGTGCATGCACCAGTGGGGTCCCTCGGCCTGGCCTGCGGGAATCAGGCTGAAACCAGCTCTCTGACATCCCCCGAGGGGTCCTGGATTGTGAAAGGGTGCAAGCCAGGCCAAGGGACTCCACCAGTGCACGAGTCTGTGCACCGGGCCTCTAGAGTGAGTGTGTGTGTGTGTGTGTGTGTGTGTGTGTGTGTGTGTGTGTTAGGAAGATTTTACTGGCCCAACTGCCTTTGTGAAAATGAGATATAAGAATCCGGCCTGTTGAGCAGTCTAATATTTTTAGAGCAGTACCCTGGGTGTAAAACTTCATTGGTTCTGTGTCCACCATGTCATGGAAAACTAACTTGGAGACTTAACTATTGGACTGGCCGGTCTCATCATCAGAATTTTGTTGTATCCATCTTGGAGTAAACCTTTCCTGTAAGGTGCTTTGTTGGGATGTAAAAGGCAGAGAGTGGGACTTCCACAAGTTTACAAGACCATGTTACATGGCTATTTTTTCCTAGTTTCTAATAAATATACATTTATTAGGCTTTGGTCTAAGCCTTGCTTTTATTATAACAGACCAACTAATAGCTTACTTGTGGGGGTACAGATGTCTATTTCACCCTTCTACTTTTCTTGGGTAGAGGTAACCAAACAAAACAAAAGTGCCTGACCACTAAAGAATGGCTAAATTGGCTTGGGTCAGTTCACCTTATTTTTCCAAACTCACCAACCAGGTAAGTCATTTCTCCCCAAAGCAGGTGTGTCCCTTCACATGGAAAGGAAGCTCAGTAGTACAGAATAAGTGTTCCCCACCATCAGTGGACAAACCAATGTTCCAGGCAATAGGAATAGAATTTATGAAAGCACAGAGTCCTGATTAGCACATTCAATAAATTATACATTATTCAATATTCCTGGAGTATAAAGGGCATCAGGAGGAATGGGAAGGGGGCAGCTGAAGGCAGACACCTAGGCAGGGATCTGTCACAAATCTGTACAAAAAACTTAAGAACCATTAAGCAATTCTAAGTAGGATGAAAACAGGGTAGGATTTGCATATTAGAAAAAACATTTTGTTGGCAGTATGGAGAATAGAGTGTGAGAGAAGGCAGCAAAGACTAGAGGCAAAGATACCAAGAAAGTAAGGAAATGCCAAGAAGAGATGATGAAATTGTCTGAACTAAAAGAGTGAAAGGGAGATGGCAAAGAACATGAATGATATTTAGAAAGGAGAACTGAAAAGATCTAGTGATTGAGTGGATATACTGGGCAATGGAGGGTCTTATATGTTTGGGGTGCTATAACAGACTAAGTAGCTTATAAATACCAGAAATTTATTTCTCACAATTCTGGAGGTTGGAAGTCTCAGATCAAAACATTGGCAGATTCGCTATCTGGTTCATAGAAGGCTAGCTTCTCTCTATGTCCTCCCATGGCAGAAGAGGCAATGGAGCTCTCTTTTCTATGCCCTCAAGGGAGCTTCACCTTCATGACCTAATCACCTCCCAAAGGCCACACATCTTAATACCATCATATTGGGAATTAGGTTTTAATAGATGAATTGGGGCAGGGGGGTGGCACATAAACATTCAGTCCATAGCAGGAGGGAAGCTTATACTGCCATCTCTATTTTTATTTTCTTTTTTAAAATATATTTTTATAAATATACTAGAGGCGCGGTGCACAAAAACTTGTGCACTCGGGGGGAGGGGGGAGTCCCTCAGCCCAGCCTGTGCCCTGTCGCAGTCTGGACCCCTCAGGAGATAACGACCTGCTGGCTTAGGCCTGCTCCCAGGTGGCAGAGGGCAGGCCTAATCCCTAGGTGCAGCCCCTGGTCGGGCTCAGAGCAGGGCCGATTGGGGGGT